GATTGACCGTCACATTATAACGCCCCCACGGCTGAAAGGGCGAGCATGTTTGGTGGGATGCGGATTCGAACCCGCGACCCTCAGATTGTGAGTCGAGCGCCTTATCCACCTGGCCATGCCGGGTAGGCAGTATTAAGTATGGACAGTATAATTTAAGACATATCTGGAGACAGTATAATGAATCACTCTAGAAGGTAGTATTAAGTATGGACAGTATAATTTAAGACATATCTGGAGACAGTATAATGAGTCACTCTAGAAGGCAGTATTAAGTAAGAGCAATATAATGTAAGTTACGTACTGATACAGTCCATAGATATAGTATATTTACTATCTAGAGGCAGTTTTCAGTATGAGTTCCACCTAGAGATGATATTAAGTTACAACAGGATATGATAGTTAATCAAATTTTAACCTTTTTTGATTTGTCACCACAGGATGTAAATAAAACATGACGGCTGGACTAAAAAAGTCAACGAACTTGCTTAATATCAAGTACATTTTCAAAATTGATATTTCTTATGTGATAGTAAGGGTTTATTCGGGAATTGTAGAGTTCCTAACCTAATAAAATTATCAAAAACTATATATATATATATATTAAAGACATGTATATTAAACGAATGACAAATATCACACTATCAGGGAAGAATCGGTAAGTGTACAATATCATAAAATGTCTGTGAGCCTATCCTGGGAAGAAGATACCTTTGGAGGTTAAAGTTCAAAAACAAAGATTATTTTATACATATTAAGGGTAAGCAAGTGAACACTATATTTTTATATTTTTTCTTTACTTATTAACAGCAGGTGGCAATACTTCAATGAAAGTCTACAATAGTTTGAAACTGTTACGTGTTACATGAGGACTAATGATTGTTCTTCATGAAGCAGCAATGTAACATAAATCAACAGTTAAATCCAAGTTTAGTCCCAGAAATCATATTTATATATACCTCGGATCCCAATACAGATGTACAACCTTGTCAGCAAACTACTGGAAATGGCTCCCAGACGACATGACTCTATCACCAAAAAAAGACGCACTTTGCGACTGTCACCCATATGTAATTGCCACCTTTCTATGATAATAACAACCTAGACCTCTACGCACTTTGCGACTGTCACCTATATGTAATTACCACCTTTCTGTAATAATAACAACCCAGACATACCTCTAAGCTATTTTAATCAGTACAACTACGATTATTTCAAATACAGACACAATATTTGGCCAAATATGATACATTAACCTGAAAGGGACGATAAATTATGAAGAATGATTGGGATTTATGAATGCAGTTCTGTAGGAAATATGTTTAGAGAGCCACAGGTGTGCCAGTGATACTTGGATTAGCTGAGACAATGTATCTTGTTTGTAGGAAAACAACAATAACTAAAATCTATAATACTTTAGATGTTTTAGATGTTTTTCTTCTCCTATCTCAAT